TTTTTTTCTGGTGTAGTGGCCCGTTTATTTACCACCAAGATTGCCAGTTACTATGAAGAATTTTACAAGTCCAGAGGAGTGAAGTTTATCAAAGGAACTGTGTTGACTTCATTTGATTTCAACACAGATGGGAAGGTAAATTTTTTTCTTTTGATGCTACAAAATGTGTAGTATGATAAATTTTCTCATTTACTGCTTCATAAAATAGCAATTTAGGTCAACACATTGCCGTTGAATGTTCTTGGCACTGCTCAACTGTAGGACAATGTTAACAAGCATAAGCACTTTGGCTAAGCTCCTCCCCACCTTACCCCCCAGACTCTTAAATCTCAAATTTGATGGGTGTGACAGCGCCATTAAAAAGGAAAATAAAATTTCACTATGAATAATTTCATTGCATCATAAAAGTAGGTCCAACAGAGTGATATTGGCTTTTCATGACTGCTTTTCGTACTCTTAGCTTTTTGAGTTTTACTTGGTTTCCACAATCAGTACTAATTGCATTGTATCGACAAATTTCTGTTACAGGTCACTGCTGTTAATCTCAGAGATGGAAGTAAGCTTCCAGCAGATATGGTTGTGATCGGGATTGGCATCCGTCCGAATACAAGTCTGTTTGAAGGCCAGCTAACCTTGGAGAAAGGTGGGATCAAAGTGAATGGCAGCATGCAATCAAGCAACAGCTCAATCTATGCTGTTGGTGATGTCGCCGCATTTCCAGTCAAAATTTTTGGAGAAACACGAAGACTCGAGCATGTTGACTGTGCACGTAAGTCGGCAAGGCATGCTGTTGCAGCGATTATGGAACCAGAAAAGACAGGTGAATTCGACTACCTGCCATTCTTCTACTCGAGAGTCTTCACATTGTCTTGGCAATTTTATGGGGACAATATCGGGGAAGTTTTCCATTTCGGGGATTTCTCGGGAAAGACATTCGGAGCCTATTGGATACATAACGGGCACCTAGTTGGTTCATTCCTCGAGGGTGGAACTAAAGAGCAGTACGAGGCTATAGCTCATGCAACAAAGCTGAAACCCGCAATTGAAGACGTAACCGAGCTTGAGAGGCAGGGTTTGGGTTTTGCCTTGTCCATGAGTCGGAAACCTCCTCCATCTCAGCCTATTATTGTTGGTGGGTCGGGTCTAGTTCTGGATACAAAACCTATATACGCATGGCATGCTACTGCTGGAGTTATTGTAGCTGCGTCTATAGCAGCCTTTGCTTATTGGTACGGTAGGAGGCGAAGAAGGTGGTGAAAACACTGTTTTTGACACCATCACATTTGAAGGATTTGAGAAATCCTATACTGCATTGCTTATGTTGTAGCATTTTTGGAAGATCGAGAACCATAAATACTCGATTTTACTTTATAATTCCATCTCCGAGGAGGAAATGGCGCAAATTATTGTTCTCACGGACAAATTCGTAACATGATCTATACATATCGTTTCACATACATGGCTTCAAATCTTGGTCTAGATTGAATTGGTTAGAAGACCATTGAAATGTGGTGGTTGTGGTCAGCAGTGAATTCAAGAATCCAAATGAACACGGGCAATTTCCCAATATGAGGAGGAAGCCAGCATGAGTGGTTGCAAGGACTCGTTAGGTGCTAGCTCTGCCCCAACTTGTGATAACATATTAAACATTTACATTCGACAAAAA